ACCGAAAACTGGGCTGGCTGGCTGGCCCTCGGAGACCACCGAAATTCGGGAGCCCCCAAAATCGATGATCCTCGATCGTAACCGAAACGGACTGTTCAGTCAGTGGCATCGGCAAAACGAATTTCGATCACCACCGATTCAGACGGACCAATGCTCAAAATATGCCTATCGGTGGCCATCGACACAGCGTTCGATCGGCACCACTGCAAAAAGTTTTGCATTTCCCACCATCAGTAACACAAACTTAAATGAATAAACCTGAAATGTTTCGAAATGAGTTCTTCGAACGCTAAACGATAATCCTCTTGTTCATCTTCGCACGATCGCTCCTCACTGCAACCATTCAATTCCTATTCCACAACTCTACTCGCAACAAATAACGCATGCGAAATCAAACTGAACAAACCATTGTTCAGCATTACAACTGTCCGTTGCGCTTGTTAATTGATGATAATCGAATGCATCGTTATATGAGCACGTTTCATTCTGAAGTCGATAATATCACTTAGGATATCGCTAACAGAATCATTATTACTATTCATAATTATCACATAAATATAATAACCATTCTGGTGAAATGAACAAAATGTGAGCACAAAGAGCGAATGCATTCATTAACACCATCGATTTCAATGTTGATCTGTTCACATCGATCCTCTGTCGCTTCTAATAGATTCTCGTAAGGTACATAAACATCTACAATGAAACCGATTACGTCGTCCATCATCACAGATGTTTACTATCATCTGGCATAAATGCAATTGAAGTACCTTCAACCAAACATCGATAAACTGCGCTTATGAATGCTCTCGAGAACAACTGATCCTCGATGAATTCACAATACGAACGCAAGTTGAAGAGTGTGTGGACTCGGTGCTCACTAGCACAGATTCGTGCCTCTGACAGCCAGTTCAGCTCTATGAAGCGGGATGATGTCTCATCTGAACAATCATCACCCATTTTTACACATCATTTATTGACGAGATCGGTTCAAATCAGAATGCTGCACCAACTACAAACCATTCGATGTTTGATGTTGTTGAATACTGCACAATTGTTTATTGAGATGCGCAAGAGTTGAGTCATTATCTTTGCATCGATTATCCGATACGAACAATTTGTGTGGCAGAGGAGTCAGCAGCGAGAGATTATAGGCAATCCACGGTTCATCAACATGATACACCAGCAACGGTATGAACGGTTGTTGCTGCTGATTATTGCTAGCGATTGATAAGATATGTTTGGGCAATACTGGTAGAACTGTGATCACCAAACGCCATGGTGACAGTCGTGATATGTAGACTCGAATCGGGGTGACAGCATGTTCAGCTGGATACGGGTAGTCCGAGCGAGTGGGCTGTGCGGACAGCGATAACGATACGATGTGATCGTGCTTATCATCGCTCGGATACAGACTCGCCGTGATGTCATCCCAAAGCTTCACATCGTCCACTTCAATGCACATGTTGTTCGTACTGAGCAGTTCTTTGTGCATGGACTCGAGAAGAAGCTTCAAACGCTTGATGCTGGCTGGATCCGCGTCTTCTGAAGCATACTCACTGATCGATCTCTTCACTCCTTTCTATCATTCAGCATCAGTTATCAATTCATTCAGTTCGGGTGAAGCATCCATATCACATCACAACATATCGGAGCATATCAACAACTTTATCATCTCTGCATACCTCACACTGCTAGTCAATGACTGTCAACGCAGAATGGCACATCAAAGGAATTTCGAAGTGATCAATAGGCCGCTAAAACAAATCAATCAACGTAATCCCAACAAAAAGATGAACAATAACTAACGATAAGTCAACGTCGGTAGTAAGATTAGCTCTCGCTCGAGTGCATTACACAACAACGCATTCAAACTGAAACACTCGCAGAAGATCTGCACATTGTTCGATACATTAATGAAGGTTTCTTCATTTGAGCGTGTCTCATTATTCCTGTTGTCGATCTGTAACTGTGAACTGGAATGATGCACACAAATCGTCATCAACTGATCCAACGTTGACAACACTCGAATGATATTCTCATCGATATCTCGTATCTGAAACATCATTTATCCTCATTCATTCAATTCGTCTTTTTCTATGTTCTGTTGTGTGTTTGTAATGCTAATGTGGCTGCAGCACTGTCAGTCTTTTGAATGTTTGTCATTAAGCATTCTAATCCTTATCAATTCACTTTTAATTGTACCCTTCTGAAGTGATGTTCACACATGGAAAGATAATACGGCAATACAGAAGAGAATAAAGAAACATGCNGATCAAAACGACTAAAGTGTGGATTGATCAGTAAAGAATGCTTTGTAGAAATACAATATGAGTAATAATAATAACAATGATAATGCAGAAGTAATATGAAGAAGTGAGGGCTGAAGTGATCAAGATGTGGATAATCAGCTAAATGGAGGAATGAGAATCTCACTGCAATAAAATACTCAGTGCAGACCCGATCCTCCACTTCATTGACAAGCCACTGATAGAGATGGTACATGAGGAATGGATATGAAACTCAGTCAGGTCAGATGCAAGCCAGATTGTCGTCTGAACATGATATCGTTGAAATGAACACATGTGAGCTGGAAGTATGAAGATCTGGCACATTCGAAGTGTTGTTGCCTTAAGACCTCACTTCCAGCTCACTTACATTCACTTATTCACAGATGGATGTTGCATGAATACAATACCTAAAATAAACCGCTTGACGACAATAAATACGACGCTCTACGAATACGACGCCAGCAACAATACACTTTATATTTACTCAGAGCAGTGGTCGAATGAACAAATGAATGACTATGCCATATTCAATCGTTTATATCACTATGTCTATCTGTCATTATCGAACTGATAACAATTAACATTTCTCTTATCAGCCATCAACCAAAAATACAATCACATTTCATAACCTCTATGAGACGATGGCTCACTTAAGCGACAAAAAAACA